GCGACCCCTCCGGCCGTCGTCGGCTCCCCAGGGCGGGGCGACATGGGCGCCGTGTGCTCTCCTGGCGGCGGGAGGGCCCAGGCAGGGCGCAGGAAGGAGTGTCCTGGCCTGGGCGCCCTTACCGGGGTGAACCCTAACTGGGGCTCCTGCCCAGCCCGGGCATGTTGGGAGGGGCCTCCGAAGGGGGACAGATGGGGGTCCTTCCTCGCCTCTGTCACAGGGAAGGAAACTGTCAGGAGTGGAGCTGGGGGCTCACGGGTGAGAGCAGCCTCAATGGGCAGCCAGGGGTGGGAGCCGGCCCTGCTTCTGAGCCCCGGGTCCCCCCCTACCAAGTGAGACGCTTCTGAGTGTGAAGCCCAAGCCCTGGACAGCTCTCTCTGCATGGGGCTGCTCTGGGCGCCTGGAAGGTTCCGGCCGACAGCTAATGAATAGCTCCATGCAGCCGCTGGGCAGTTTTGCGAAGCGTACTCGGAATGATAAGCAGAGTGCGCTTTCTTGCATGAGGGCTGGGGCATCCGTCCAGGCAGATGGGGGAGAGCCCGCCCTCGGTCACCTGGCCTGTCAGCTGCGGCCCTTCCCACGCCGGCTGACCTGGTCCTCTTCGAACGGCTGGGATGAGCCTGAGGCTTAACAGTTTGGGTCCAGGTCACACCTGGGACAGACGTGGCAGGGCCCTTGAACTTGTGGTAAGAGGCATTTTCCATTTCTCGAGGTTTTGCCTGGGTTAGACGTGTTGGCTGGCAGTGGATCCCCTGAGCGGGTCTGTGGGTGCCAGGGGCCGTGGATGCCGGCAGGAAGACCCTTCAGGGTGGGAGAAGCTCCTGCAAATTGGGCTGGGGCAAGGGGCCCTGGAGTGGGCATCGGGAGAACTGTATCTGAATCCCGGTGCACTGTGTAACCTGGGCGTGTGGCCCCCTCGCCCAAGCCTGTCCCCTTGGCTAAGGTCAGTGAACACTGGTGGCTTCGTTTCAGCTAGTTGTGAGTTCAGACAAGGTGATGGGTTAAAGTTATCTTGGGGTTTATGGGGCAGTGGGCCTGGGAGGAGGGATGTCACCAAGCTGGTTCATGCTGCCTGCGGGGGTCAGTCTGTCCTGTGTTCATATCCGTTGGAAAGCTGTGACACAGTCCCTCCTGGGTGTCCAGAAGCCTCTGGGATGCTCCAGGCAAACAATTTATAGGTCACTCCCAATTACAGGAAGAATAATTCCCAGGTGGCTGTGACACCATGGAATAATTTAGAAGTGATAAAGCCTCCCGCTCTAGCTTGGCGTGGTGGAAGGTCTGGGGGGAGCCACGGGCGTCTAAGGGGGACATGTGACTGGCACCCAGACACAGAGGTAGGCTGCTGAGGTGCACGTGGTGGCAGGGGCCCCAGGCAGCTCTGGGCATAGGGCTGAAGCCGGACGGGGCTGGACATCTACTGTGCTTGGTCCAGTGCCAGGCACTGAAGGCGGGGGATCCGACCCCCAGGCCCACGACGGCCGCCCGCTGCGGGCAGCCAGCTTCCCAGAGGCCAGCTGGCAACCCGCACGCCCAGCTCAGGCACTGTCCCCACCTCGCTCAGCTCAGCGCCAGTGAGGCCCAAGCCTGCACCCGGGCAGTCCCCTCCCTCCCCATACTCTGCTCAGATCCGCATCTCAAGGAAGTCGATGTTTGTTGGCCCCTTGGGAACGGGGTCGCTGTACCCAGTCCGGGCATGCCGGCGATGAGGCCCGCCTGAGGTGTGGTTGGTCGGCACCCTGGGCGACTGACTGTTTTTGTTTGCTGTGACTGCCGAGAGCCGCAGGCTGTGAACCGTGCGGGTGCTGATGCCGTTGAGGTGCGGTGAGTGTCTGCACGTGGTGTCGCTCCCCCTGGGAGCCTGTCCCGAGGAGCTGGACACAGGCTCGTGTGCACAGATGTCCCTTGTGGGGTTTGGGAGGTGCTGTTAAAAATGGCATTGTTCTACAGAGTAAGGATTTGGAAAAATGCTCATAACGTACTAAGTCGAGAGGATATAGGATCGCACATGTGTCTGTAAAACACAGATGCAGAAGGAAAACGCAGCTGCCTGTGTCGGGAGGGGTCTCCGCAGTCCGTCTCCCCCGCCCCCCCCCGCCCCCTCAAAGCCAGCTCTTAATTCCGGAAAGATACGTGTATGTACGAGCTTATACGTGTGCATAAAATCCCCTGGAAAGGTTTACGTCCACATAATTTTCCAGAAGAAAATTGATAAATCACATACATGTACCCAATTTCCCTCTCTGTTGTATGTATGTGTGTGTGTACACACACACACACACACACACACACACACACACACACACACACACGGACACACGTATACGAGTATGTACACGTAACGTTATTTTCCGGGCGAACGTTTTAAATGGGATCAGCTAATGGGATCATGGGCGGGTCCGTCCATCCTTCCCCTCAGCGCGAGGCCCGGCCCCGCGTGCGGCTCCGCAGACGGTCCGCGTGTCCGGCTGGGTTTTCTCTGCTCAGCTCTGACCCCCCGTCTCTCTGTGCTGGCATCTGTGCGCCCTCCCTTCTCTGGCTTCCGGCTTCTCTGTTCTGCGAACCTCCCCCCGCCCCCCGGCCCTGGACCCCAGCCGCCCGTGTGTCTTTGGGGCCCACAGCTGGCCAGTCACTGGCAGCTCCTCAGGGCGTTTCTGGCCCATGCAATGTGCCAGTCCCTGCTTGCGATTCCGAAGATCTCTGGTTTGTAAAGTGACTTTGTCACTGTGCTCCCAGCCGTCTGTCCCCACCTGGCGGCTCCTGCCCGGCCCATCCCAGCAGTCAAAGGCCCTTCGCTGCTCTGCCGCGTCTCCCCACGTGTAGCTTTCGGCGGCTGGCACATGTGCCCGGCGTCTGCGCCCACGGAACTGTCTGGTGCTGAGGCAGCTGCCTTCCTCCCCATGTTCGTGCGCCCGGACCCTGGCCGTGGGGACTCGGGGACCGTGGCCTCCTCCCTTGGGCACTTGGGCCTCTGCCAGGAAAACTCATGGCTGGGATCTGGGGTGCAGCACTCGGTGGTCCCGGGGGGCCCTCTGACCGTGCAGGGCTGGGCACAAGGTGGGTGGTCTTCCTTCTGGGGCTGGGGCAGAGTCGTGGGGGAGCGGGCGTTGAGGTTGCTGTCTTCCCCAGGCCTGTGGGACCCTGCGTGGGGTCCCGCAGGGCTCGTGGCCTTGCCAGATTTGGGGTGCTGGTGAAGGAGGATATGAGAGCGTCCTTCTGCCCTGCCAGGTGGCAGTTTGGTCCTGGGCTGCCTCTGACAGCATCTGTCCCCCGTGTGTCCCCTGAGGACAGTCCTGCGTGCTCAGCAGTGCGTGTCCTCCTGCAGGGTGCCAACGGGCCGGGAGCTGTCCAGGCCACCCCTCGCTGTTGCTGAGAAGGTCCAGCGCCAGGCCCTGGGCAGCCGCTCAGATCAGCCCTTGGGAAGGTTCTGGAGGAGATCGTGGCCGCCCCTCCCCCCTGAGTGGTTCATGGGCGGCTGCAGGCCCCCCGAGCGGCCGGGCCCGCCATGCTGCAGTGCCGGCTGGCCCAGGAGTTCAGCTTCGGGCCCCGGGCCCTGAAGGATGCCCTGGTGTCCGTGGACCCAGCCCTGCAGCGGCTCTATGCGTCCACCTTCTCCCCGGCTGAGCGGCTCTTCCTGGCCGAGGCCTACAGCCCCCAGAGGAGCCTCTTCCGCACGCTGCTCATCCACACGGCTTTCGACTGGCTGCTCAGCCGCCCTGAGGCTCCCGAGGACTTCGAGACCTTCCACGCGGCCCAGCTGGCCAGGAGGCAGGGCCGGGGCCGCAAGCACATCTACCTGCAGCCGATCGGTACGGGGTCGGGGCACGCGCCCTGCCTCCCAGAGGGCTGGGGGCGAACCCCACAGGGCTAGCAGCTGGGTGACCACCGTGGGGGGAGGAGTGTCACGGAGCCAGCAGGACCCTGCTGTGGGGACGAGGGCCTGAATCAAGCACACGGGGGTGTCTGTACCCCGGCCCAGGCAGGACTGAAACGTGGTGGGCGGGGTGGGGTTGGGCACAGGGAGCCCCGGGCCCTCCGCCCACTCAGCTCCACTCTGATACTGTCCAGAAGGCCCTGGCCCCTGGGCCTCTCTCCGACCAGGGGCAGGTCGCCCAGCCAGGCAGGGGGGCACGCGGGACAGATGTGGCACCTGGCTTTGGAGAGGACGGAGGGCCTGAGCTGAGCGGAGCAGTGCAGAGTGTCGTGCTGCCCCCTCAGTGTGTCTGATGGGCCAGGGGAGGGCCAGGGTCCACCAGCTCTGTCCCGCACGGCTCAGCCCCAGCCCCACTGCCCACGGCTGTCTACTCCCCGGGACGGGCCCGCTGACGTCCCTGTCACCGTCAGCCCACGGCCACTCTGCTGTCTGGGCCTGCGGATCTGCCTCCCAACCGCCCCGGCCATCCAGGTGCTCCATGTCCCGCCCGACCGTTCAGCTTGTCGAAGTGCAGGTTCTGGTTCCGGTCCGGGGAGGCCCCGGGTCACTGTGGCCGCCTGCTCACAGACCTCCTGGCTTCCGCCCTGGAGGTCTTTCTGAAGGGTGACATGGTTGTGTCCTTCCGTCCCTCTGTCTTTCTGAAGGGCGACATGGTTGTGCTCCCTCACGGTCCTCGCTGCCCTGGCTCGGCCCGCCCACCCTCTCCCGCCGTCCCTACGCCCTGGCACCTGCCCCCAGCGGGTCAGCCGCGGGGACTCGGGGCCTGGATGCCCCGCTCCCCACCTGTCAGACAGCGACTGCGGTGACCGCTCCTTCATCTGCACGTGGACATTTCCTCCATTTTCCTCCTTTTCTGGCCCTTTTGGAAACGACGCGCCTGCCGTGCCCCTCGTGCCCGAGTCTCCACCCTGTGCAGGCGGGTCCACCGCAGCCCGGTCCGCCAGCGGGCGGTCCCGGGTTCAGGTCGG